CGATTGACTGGAGTACTTTCGATGCTTCTTTAATTGACTTCAAGAACTAGTACAGTTAACACCATTAATAAGTTGCTATCGCTATAGTAATCAAGCCGGTGCTCTGAGTCCTCCTCCGTAGATCACAGCCTCCAAGACACTGGTCTGCAGCTAATCTTGGTTCGTGTTCAGACAGCAGACAAGATCAAGGGGCATGCAGAGTAAGCAGATTGACTATGTTGGCATCAAAAGAGGCCGCCCCTGGCGAAAAGACTGAGTGGGACATCCAGCATTACGGGTTGCGTGTCTGGGTACAGTGATTCATCTTCGTGACTCAAAACACAGTCAAGATGAGTCTTTGTCGCATTGTCAGTCATCCCCGGACTCATAGTTCCCCACATCTTCGAAATATGATGTCATTAATCACAATTTGCTTGCGCCTCATCATATCTTTAGGTCAACATGGAGAATTGAAGGCAGATGACACATTCTTGGAGAGGTTTAATGCTTCTTATTATGATGCCTGAACCACATGGATGATATCCCATCCAAGATCATTTGCGTGTTGTCTCGACTCCAAGATTTGAAGAGAAATCTTACATCACGTGTCGCCTGACCGCCCTGGATTGGAAACGATCATCAGTCAGCATCGTCACATTTGTTGATACTACTACAACGACGAGGTATATTGCCATTTCTATTAGCAATATTGTGATCTTGATGAGAATACGAGTCCTCATTCATCGCCTGATGTTACTATTCCAGCTTCGACCCTTTCTCACGTAAAGGCTGCAACATTCAATCTATTGCATCGTTTGTCCTACTATACAGCTCTTAGCCACCGTCGATCTTGCGGTCACCGGATCTCTGCGTTGGCAGGTTGATCACAATTCACAGTACTTCGCCCCTGTCCTAAGAGTCCTGGAATTGACTGACTGACAAGTCATCAAGCGCTTCGCGCAAAGGTATCGTATTATGTGTATCACCTGCCGCGTGATCTGTTGAACATGCTGCTTCACTATCATTTCTACTGGCTAGAAATGGTTGTCAAGACAGTTTTTAGATAGTAGAATTGATAGTGCACCAACATGCTCAACAAAATCTCACTTGTCCGATTGAGGACTGCCTTGAGCTGTACTGACACCATATCCCTAGGATGGACTCCACTAGCGGTCTTGGAGCGCCTGATGGCTTGAATAGACATGCATCCTCTACCAATGGTAAGGCTCTTTATTTCATATCCCCTACAGATACAGTAGGGCTGCACCTCAGACTGCAAGTCTCTCTCCTATCATGGAATCAACGGTCCCGCAGAAGGATTTGCTTTTTCTTTCTATGCAAGCTCAGCAGGCCTAGGTCTCTGTTGATCTAAAATGTTCCACATCCGTTCTCACGCAGATCATCCTGACTGTGTATTTTCTTTAATCAGTACGCGCTGAAGGCGCTGCTTGGTCCCCTTATCGGACCTTGCGGCCCGCAACCTTTTTGATCACGCGCTCACCATGATACTCTTATTTTGACATAGGTCAACCACCGGCCACTGGCGCTGAGCTGGCGACTGCTCAGCCTCAAGATTCTACAGTGCCCAGCCTGTCAGATGTTCCCAATCGACCAATCCCAAAGCAGAGGACTAAATGCCGCTTCTTCACTTCCCAAAAGGGTAAGTCTTTGTTCCTGTTGCATTCTCCCTTCATTTTCCTGTGACTATTCGCTATCTCTGAGCTTGGCTGTCTTCCACCTGGGAGCTGTACTTGGAACTATTGGAGCTATTGGCTCGTGTATTAGTTGTTCGGGGAACAGTTGCTTGTGGGACCGAAGAACAGATACATCGTTTCTGTAATGTGCTGTCTCCAGAGAAGACTTTATCAGCTGACCTCGCCTTCATTGCCGTTTCTTTACCCTCTATACTAACTTGCATCAAGGATGTCGTGCCGGCGATGCTTGCCCGTATATCCACGATTTGGCCGATTCTAAACGGAAGAGTGCACAGCCTGCGGCGCAAGTGCAGGCCGGCTCACCCAATGAGGTCGAAGATTCCCAGAATTCTTTACGAGGTGTAGCTACCGACGTTAGAAGTCTTTCCATCAATGACACAAAGGAAGTCAGGGCCGTTCCTCAGGCAGGAGGCAAGTCAAGCTTCCACGCTGGCCAAAGGCCGATTTCTAAGGCCGAAAGCTCGAGCCCCAGGGAATTTCAGATTAACCAACTGAGACGGAGGTTTCATCCAAAGGAAACCACAGACGGCTCGGGAACATCCTTAACGATTAAAATGGCTCCTTCTGATCCCGATTTCCCATTTGAGTTAGATAAGCTGCACTGCATTCTGCATGTGCCGCTGTCGTATCCCGGACAAGGAAGACCTACCATAAAAGTGATTAATCCGGATATGGAAAGATCCTTCCAAGCCAATGTGGAGAGAGGATTTGATGATATTGTCGACAGCACATTGAGGAACGGTGGCCGAGGAACTCTGTTGAGTTGGATGAACAGCCTTGACCGGCATCTGGAGCGCTTGCTTACAACCACAGAAAGAGGGCCCACGCTCAAGTTCGTTCCTAATGTTGGCAGCAAGGAAGTACAGGAGCGTCGAGCGCCAGAGCAGGTACGAGTATCGCACACTGATACTCCTGCAACAGAACGAAAATCAGTACCAAAGCCAACGCCATCAGTCACGAATGTGTCCAGGGTCTACACCGCAGAAGAAAAAGCCCAGGCAGAACGAAGAAGGGCAGTCGAGACAAAACAAATCGAGGCTCGGCTCGGTAGATTGCCCCTATTTCAGAAGTCTCGAGATGAATTGTCCTTCGTTATTCCTGTGCAACCCTCCAAAGTGGAACGCCTGCCTGTTTCACTTCGACCAATCAAGACAGTGAAGTTGCTGGTACCTCGCCTATACCCCCTCGAGCCAAGTTCTATTGAGCTTCAGGGTGTAAGATCTCCCGAAGCCCAGTCTGTTGAGGTTGGCTTCTCGCAGTGGGTGAAGGCAAACGCTCAGCTTAATCTGATGTCCCAAATCAACTACTTGACAAGCAATATGCACACTCTTGCGACGACCGTCTTAGAATCAGCATCGGAACCGAAGCAAGAACCGGCCACCAGCTCCGTGGATCTGCCAGAGGAATCTGCGCCATCTGGCTCAAACAATCCGATGTTTGAGGTGGAGGACAAACCCCATATTCGTGTCATTCCACGTCCTCCAGAATGGAGTGCAGGAGATAGTGATGAGGGCAGTGAGATCTCAGAATTCTCGACATCAGAAGACGGCTTCACGGATGAGGATGAGGACGAGGACGGCGGCGCTCCTGTTCCTGACATGCCGGCACCGACGGCTGAACGTGGTGTGGCTCTTTCCTTCCCCTACCTGGAGCTGTATGGGATTGAGCTCCTGGAGCTTGTAGGTCTCTACGTCACAGTCAAGTGCGATCGTTGCAAAGAGCAGTTGGACGTGAGAAATATACCGCAGGTCAAGGATAAAAGTGATGTATTGGCTCCGAAAGTCGAGACGTGCAAGAAGTGCACCAACACAATGAGCCTTGGTAACGATATCCCATTTCAAAGCTTGAAAAAAGGTCCATACTTACCTGCGCTCTTGCCAGGCTTTCGAAGACAACTGATGCATGCGCACTCCACCCGTGCGGGGTATTTGGATTTGGACGGCTGTACCGTTGTCGACCTTCTTCCCAGGTAAGAGCACTTAAGTGTCAGCGAACTTCGATCGAACGCCTCTCACGTCGTTGTAGTAGCTTTATCCCGACCTGCGCAGAGTGCTCGACCACATTTCCCGGCCCTGGCGTCGTTGCAGTTCGCGGCGAGAGCGCAACAGCTTCCTGCCGTCAGTGTCATCGCAAAATGGGTAAGCACAGAGATTGTGAAATCCTGAGCATCGACTAACCATTGGACATCAGTTTTCAAAATCCCCGAGGTCAAGTTCTTGATCGTAGGATCTGCTGCATGTGAGTTGCGACAAAGTAATTCTCCTCGGCAAACATGCGTTGACCACTTAACTTGCTCAAGTCTCCTCTCGTGATCGTGTTCCACAGCGGAAGAAGGTATGTGCAATATATCTGGTCGCCGGAATCACAAAGTCTTACTTAGAAAAACTTTAGCCAAAAGAGACCCTTGGTATAGTCGCTGGTCAGGAGCTACCTCGTCGAGGCAGATGCATGCACTATGGTAAAAGCTATCGGTGGTTCAGGTATTAACTCCCTTCCAAGTTTCCGGCCGTCTCCCCTTTACTCACTCTTTCGACAGGTTCAGCTGTTGCGCAAAGGTTTTCCCATGTGACAAGTACGTCAGCCTTTCCCAGGGGTAGCTGCTCGAGTCTGCCATGGCCATTGATTGCAGCTTTTCCCTCATGATGATACTCAACTCACGGATATAGGTGCCATGACGCAGCTACAGACCATCCAAACGAACATGCAAACCGCATGATCTGGTAAGTGCATGCCACATGGCCTTCGGCGCCCAACACCTTCTTACGACTCCTAGTGGTTTCTGTTCAAGAGAACAAGTCTACCGACCCGAGAACTGCGGTATATGCCGCGCAGTCCTCGTTGGAAAGGCAGGAAGCGGCTTCTGGGAAGGAGGAAAGGGTACAAGGAACAAGGTTCTGATGAGCCGGAAAGGTATGCTCCCTTTTTCATCTGATGGTTTCTTCCTACGCTGACGAGCTTCAGATCCACGAAAGTATAAACGCCTTGGAGCGACAAAACCAGGTGCTTCAAGCTCCTCGAAGAAATGATGGTTTTGCAAGTCGAATTCATCGTCTGCCTGTGCTTTGGAAAGCATCTTGGGAGTAATGCATTTTGCTCAAGCGTATAACCTCGCATCAACATGTTATGTAGCATCTCGCCGGGATGACTTTTGGGCCAATGCAATAGAGTCCAATGGCTACATGGGGGCTGACCTCCGAGCCAAATAAAAGGCAGGAAAACAAGACTGATTCAACCGCTATCTCCTGATACTTGGGACCACGAAAAGCCTGTAGTCGCACCTTCCCTCCCGACCGGCCTACGTGCTCTCTAAAAAACCAATCCACGAAAGAACGCGCCGAATGGCGAAGTAACCGGGGCAGCAGGGTAGTCAACAACCTGCACTGCCGGAGCGACAGCAGCCTCAAAGGCGAGCTTCACGCTTGCAACCGCAACAAGCAGTTCCTCATGAAGGTCGGGGAGGCGGTGTTGGGCTGGAGGGCAGCGCGGACCTGGCGCTCCTCAGCCGCAGGCACCTGCATAATCTGTCAGCGAAACCGCAAAAGAAGAACCCAATTCAAACGAACCATGGATATAATCCGACGTACCTTTTGCACACGCGCTTGCCTTTGGCGCATGAGACGCAGGCCCGCTGCCGCCACAGTTGGCCTGCGAGTCGTAGTCCCAGCTCATTCCATGCCGTCTCTTGATGCTCCGGCCAAAAAGGAGTGTGTATCAATCTAGACTCCAAAAAGAATCACCTCAGCCTCTTAATCATACCTCTTGAGCAATCACATGTCTTGTAAGTCCAACATCCCCACACTTTTGAAGTTCATCAAGCGTCAAAGGCGGAGATGGAGGTGGTGCTAGGTGTAAGAGAAGCAAATTCATATTATCTCAAATACTATCCTCCCATTGCAGTGTGATACGCCGCTGAGAATAGAGTCTCGGGACCAGATAGTCGAAACGCTCGGCTGGCAGTTTTAGGCTCAATCCGGCCTACTTGCTTGGTAAGCCAGAGTGATGCGAGTAAGTGAGACCCGCAGCAGATGTCATGGCATCCTTTTGTGGACGAGCTATTAGTGGCGATCGTTCTTGACAAAGCAGCACTGGAGCCCCGACCTCATTTCCAGTAGTGAAATGGCCCCCAGGATCAGCTGTTTTACGCCGGGCTAACTCAATGGTAAGCCATGTGTCTTCAGTGACTTCTGAATGAGAATAATGCCTAGTGGCTGGGATTGTTTTCTTGCAGATTCGCACGCCAGAACGTCCGAATTCTCGAAGTGTGTAGGGGGCATTTCCAATGATAGGGAGAGCAGGGTTCGAGGCCCAGGTCGCGCAAACTCCTGATCCTGTTGAACAGAGAGCGCACCTGGGCCCGATATCTCGAGCGAAGTCTGTCAGAGGACAACCCTATTATTGTCGACCTTTAGACAGAGATGCTGGGGCTTTGAGTGTGATTTTGCCTTTGGCCTCAGCTCTATCGCGATGATCCGGGAAATCTTGGTGCAACGACACAACTATGTCTGTCCTGCGAGATCATGAGACGACTGGAAGTTTAAGTCACAGTTAGAGCGTGCTGACTGAAGACGATTCACTGTGGCACTGACCGATTGTTGAGTTTGGGAGAATAGCTGCTTCTCTGGTATCCAAGCAACCATCTCGGATCCCATGCGACCTAGTGGCAACTGCTGCCTGGATCGCTTTGGACTTCCTGCTGTTGAAGAACAGTCCAAGCGTCGTGCGGTGCTGTTCGCTGATGCAGCCACTGAATGCTGTGTATGGATGTTAGATATTACCTTCAGGCCAACAGCGCTGCTTTGCGAGCGTGGATGAGTGCGACAAAAAAAGAGAAAGCACGGGCGAAGTGATTGCCTTGTACTAGATGTGACTTGATTGTGCATAACCAGTTCTGACACTATCTCCGTAATGAAGATGTCTGCCTCTGAGAAAAACGTCTTGACCAACTGGAATGCCCCGTCGATAAGAGCCCCAGAGCGATTTTTTGCATCTATGTCGTCCGCAATTCTCATCCGAGACTTGCTGGTCCTTTTGACCGGGGGCATAGGACCATCGTCACTGGGATCGATAGTGAAGTAGGGCCGGATTCCCGCGACGGTGATTGGCCAAGCTGTGGGACACCCGGAAGGTCAGCGAAGCTCTCATCAGAAACCATGTTCGTTCGAATGCGAATAGAAGCCACAGTGACGCCGGTGGTCGTTCATGTATCTCGCACGGTGTATTTTGCAGATACTGCGCCTATGTACTGACATAGTCGGAAGTATGGTCATTGTAGCTGCCTCCGGCTCTGTATCCCTAGCAATGGTGTCAGGAACGTTGTTAAGTGCATAATGAGGACCCCAGAGGACAGAGCGGATGCATACAAGGGTTGACCAGGTCATTTCATTTCCAATACAACAGAAGATAAGTGAGGACAGCATTATTTCTGTCATGCTGTCCTCCGTCTAGCTGATGGTAGGACCAGTCAAGTACAGATTCGTAGGAGGAAAGCTCCAGGTCTTATAGGTTGGAAAGGAATATAGTAGCGGTGAATAATATTAAGCCTGCCCGTCTGGCTGTGAATGATTCCTTGAACATATTTGACGGTGAAGAAAATTGAATGAAATGGTTTGCAAACGGCAGCAGCAAAGGAATGCAAGGATCATTGCATATTCGTCCAATAATGAAAGAACTAAAGCCAGTTTCATTTTATCAACAAACGCTACATACAATGCAAAGCTATATGCCTGGTATCCAACAGAAATCAAAGATATGAATGAGCGGGAAACACCAGAAGACCTATACAAGGTTGCCACGGAGGGCTTGCTCCCGTTCAATGGCCTCAAAGAGCGATTTGAAGTTTCCAGCACCAAAGCCGGAGAAGTTGTGTCTCTGGATGATTTCAATGAAGACGGTGGGACGATCCATCAAGTGCTGTTCTCTATTAGCGTGACTGACTAGGGCGACCTATCCAACGGGAAGTGACATACCTTGGTAAACAGCTGTAGCAGGTATCCGCCCTCATCAAAGTCAATGAGGATGTCCAGGCTGCGAATTGTCTCAAAGTCCTCGTGGAGAGTCAGGCCAGCTTTCTTCAGCCGCACCTTTATGTCTTCATAGTATGTGTCTGGAACTTTGATGAATTCAACACCACGAGCCTTGAGGTTCGTGATGTCTCGGATGATATCGTCCGTGAGAAGAGCAATGTGTTGAACACCTGCGCCGTTGTAGAAGTCGACGTATTCTTCGATCTGGGACTGCTTCTTGCCCTTGGCCGGTTCGTTGATGGGCATCTTCACCACCTCGTTCGGCGAAGCCATCACAATACTCTTGAGAGCGGAGTATTCTCTGGAGGTTGCGTTAGTCTCCTGCTGTAATGTCTTGTTGGTAAATAATACTCACGTGCAGATTTGCTTGTCGTCAACAGACCAGAAACGATGGAAACCGAGAGCCTTCTCGTAGCTGGTAACAGTCAGTACGAGGACTACTCATGGCTGAAGCGGGTTACGGTCACTTACTATTCGCAAACTTTGTCCATTTCATCCCAATCTTGGTTTCCGACGCAGTGGTCAATCCGATTCAAGTGCACACCAGGCAGCAGCTGAGAGATCGGGTCCTCTGCCCCGGTTTCCAAGCGATATCCTGGCAGAAATGTACCGTGGTACGAGCCCCTCTCCAGCAAAGTGTGCGTGGTCTCGCCATAAGTCTGGATAGTCGCCACTCGCACATGGCCGTCGGCATCTTCGAGGGTCCGAGGGTGAGAAACAACCTTGGCACCGTTGTTCGTCGCAGCATAGAAGACGGAATCCACCGAGTCGACCTCGAAGGCAACGTCCTTGACACCGTCACCGTGCTTCTCGAGATGAGCATGGATCTCCTTGAGTAGTTCCTGCTCTTCAGGTGAAAAGCGGTCGATCTGATCCAGAGACCGGAGCGGCGAAGAGAGGATGAAGGTGATGTCGCCGTTGCGAATGACGTGGGAGCAGACGCTGCGGCATCCTGTCTCGAGACCGCGGTAGGCGATGCGCTTGAAGCCCATGCGGGTAATGTAGTACGAGGCAGCTTGCTTTGCGTTGCCTACGTACCAGTGGACATGGTCATACCCTCTGTAGCTGGCAAGGCTTGAGGAAACCCGGTCGGTTGGTGGAGGGCTAGTAGAGATAGCCGTGGGAGCCATGTTGAAGTCAAGTGGGAAGAGATGATAAGTTGTTCTTGTCAAGAGAGAGATTAGCCTGCGATATAAGAGCTATTAGAGGCTGTTGGATCTCGATTTAGGGTTGTTGAGCTTGAACTATCCTCATGACCGGACGAGCCATATCTCTTATAAGGTGAACCAAACATCCGGGCACGGATAAAAGCCACATCTCCCAATGTGCAACTTCTTTGAAGCTTCCGTGTTTAATTATGATGGCATCGATAGGCACGGGATCCATTCACAAAGTTCCCTCAACCAAACGGACGAACCCTTTTTTGGCTGTCGTCGGCTGCGGGCGGGTATTTAGATGAGATACCCGGGAGGACGCGGGTATTTGAACAAATATCCGACAACGATGACGATCAGATGGACAGCGTCAAAGAGCCGAAACTATCCTAATCAATCGATAAATAATTTGTATTATCAGTCGATGAGCTCATACCGAAGACCGAAGAACTGTCCCCAGATTAATGCTCAACCTTTTGGAATAATTGTTTTGTTCGTCGAACATCAATCCGTCACACTACTGCATCACCCATTTCTCAGCTGCGATATCAGAACATCAAACAAGATGGCCACAGGCACTACAATCCAAGCCAGTCGGCCGTCCCTCACATCCAACGACTCTGCAGTCCTACAAGCTCTCTTTGACGCCGAATCATCCCCTTCCTCGGCCGTCACAATCGACCCATCTCTCCCCCCCTTTCCAGAATACCTCCACATCTCAGCGAGCGACCACGAGTCTCTCAAAGCCCACGAGCTGAGCATCATCCGCAGCCTCCAATCCGACAACGTCTCAATGGACACCATCAACTCCGCCATCAGTGACCTCGACGCCCTAATCTCCGAGCACCCGACTTACCCATCCGCGTACGTGAACAGAGCCCAAGCCCTCCGCGTACACATCGAAAAGACGGCAGAGACATCGACAGACCCAGACGAAGCTATCTTCACCCTGGGTAATATTGAACCAGCCTCGCGCCTCTTCTACGATCTAGGGAAGGCGATTTCGCTCTGCACGCCCAGGTCGCCTGCTGATCCGGTCTCGACGGTTCAGGCGCGCATCCTGGCGGACTCGCATACCCATCGTGGGTATCTGTTGCTCAAGGCTGCGAGGTTGAAGAGGAATGCGAACGGTAATGAGATGGTAGGTGGGCCGGATAAGTTGCGGGATCTGGGGCCCGATCAACTGGAGGAGATGGCGAGTAGGGATTTCTTCTTTGGAGGGAGGTATGGGAATAAGGTTGCCCAGCAGTTGGCTGTGCAGACGAATCCGTATGCGAAGATGTGTGGGGCGATTGTTAAGGAGGCGCTGAGGAAGGAGGTTGAGGGGTCTATTTGATGACTTGAATTCTAAAATGCATTTGTAAAAATACCATGACCTGTATTCTGGCGCCACAATTCATGAGTACGATTCAAGCACTGTGACATTGATAGAGTTGTTTGCTGATTTGTAGCACCTTCGATCCAATAGAGTTCAAGGATTACCGATAAATGCTTAAAAGAACATTTCATTATATGTAGCTGAGTTGCGCTGGCTGATCACAGAAAAGACAAATGGTATATAGTCAAGTTTACAAGAAACATAATAGCGGCAGCTAATAAGTTTTGATCTTCCTATTTAGGCCTTGCTAGGGTTCTTGAAGTGCCTCTTCAGCGGACGCCAGCTGTGCTCGTTGTATTGTTCCTGCACTTTCTGGCAGGTTTTGAGACCCCATTCGGACACACCAACCATGAGACAGCTAAAGATGGTCAGCATTGAATCAGTTGATGTAGCTTATATCACTACATACCTCTCGAACATGAATGCCATGCTTCCATCGCCAACCTTCTGAGGTTTCAGCTCAGCATTGCTGGCACCCTCGAAAGCGTCCGCGTCGGGACCATGAGCACTCATAACGTTGTGTAGGCTGGCGCCTGCGGGCTGAAAACCGCCGCCTGTCTTCGCATCGTAATTGCCGCAGATCAGTCCCATGAATTCAGACATTGTGTTCCGGTGATACCATGGAGGACGGAAGGTATTCTCTGCCACCAACCAGCGAGGCGGGAATATCACGAAATCAGCAATAGCGGTGCCCGCATGGTCTGATGGTCCGGTAAGGACGGTGAAGATTGAGGGATCCGGGTGATCAAAGGAAATAGAGCCAATGGTGTTGAACCGACCAAGGTCGTACTTGTATGGGTAATAGTTGCCGTGCCAGGCGACGACATCAAAGGGAGTGTGGTCCTGGCGTGCGGAAAAGAGAGTGTTGTTGAACTTGCTGTAGAGCCGCCACTCGGTCGGTTCTTCCTCATCCTCGAATGAAGCGACAGGGGCTTGGAAGTCGCGAGCATTCGCAAGACAGTTAGAACCGATGGGGCCCAGCTCCGGTAGCTGGTAGTGGCCTTGGTAAAGTTCGCAAATGTATCCTCTCACGGGACCCGCTGGAAGGGTGACGCGGTATCTAGTGCATCGTCAGTCCTCCCTGTGATTGATGTGTGGTGGGACAAGGAATGGCATACCTGACACCGCGAGGAATCACGCAAATCTCCTTAGGGCGAACCATGAGTCTTCCCAGCTCCGTCTGGATGTCCAACACACCATGCTGAGGGACAATCAGAAAGTCCCCATCCGCCGAGTAAAAGGCCTCCTTTCCCATATCCTTCCCAGCAGCGTACAAAATAATACCAAGACCGTGCTTTAACGTGGGGTCTCCGGAACCAGCAACAAGATGCAGGCCGTGGACCCAGTCCACCGTCTCATCCAAGTCAAATGGATCCCATCTCAGCTGGTTGGGGATATGATGTAGTTTGTGCGTCTCTGTGGTCATGCTGGTGTGATAGGAGTCGGCATCTTCGGCCTTGAAGTTCTCATGTGCAGCTGCAGGGAGAATTCTGTAGACCCAGGACTGCTTGTTCTCATGCCTCGGAGCAGTAAAAGCGGTTCCAGACAGCTTCTCAGCGTAAAGTCCGTAGGGTGCCTTCTGAGGGGAGTTCTGCCCTACCGGCAGAGCGCCTTCGATGGCTTCCGTCCTAGAGGCTCAGTCAGCTCCGAGAATTCGACTCAAAAATGATATTCGGCCATACTCATGATAAGAGTCGAAGCCAGTTTGGTATGAGTAAGGATCGGGATGTGAGAATTGTGAGACAGGCATGATGTCGGATACCTGCAAATTTACAGAGACTTGAGCTCAGTAGCAGGAAGTATACTACGACAAGGTCCACCTGAGAGGGACTAGCGGGCCTTCTTAAGAACCGAGTACTTTGTGAGCACGAAAATACAAGAAGCCGTCAAGACCAGCCGCGGCCGTCATCGCGGGCATTCTCGTCCGCAGAGCTGATGAGGTGATGGGGCCATGTCGACTGCGGGGTGGATAGAACAGCGGAATTGGCGACGGAGGGGAAGACGTCAACAACAGCCGGCAATAAGCGGGAGACGCGGGTTGTTTCCGCAGTGTCTCTGCGTCTCCACGGAATCGTCCATGGAGGGGATCAATAGGAGTCCCAGATATGAGGGGCAGACTGGAGTTGAGAATAATTTCGTTTTAATATCGTTGTCCCGCTCTAGATAATCTTGAGCAAGCCATTTGAAGATTCTTTGGTCTCCCTGTTCTTCCTACTGATACCCATTTTCCCCGCTCTACCGTCCTCATCATAATGGCTTCGTGGCTCTCGATTCCCAAGAACTCGCCCTTTTCTCTGGCGAATATTCCATTCGGTATCATCTCCTCTGCAAAGGTCACATCTCCTGTGGCTGCAGTTGCGATCGGTGACTATGCGCTGAACCTGAGCACCTTCGCCTCGTCAGGCGGTTTTTCGCAACTCCCCGCCATCCAGCCCCATCTCAGCGTATTCAGCCAGCCCACTCTGAACGCGTTTGCAGCGCTCGGCCGTCCCATGCACCGTCAAGTGCGTGAATATATTCAGAGCATCTTCCGTGCCGATACGCAATTTCCTCAGATTCTCAAGGACAATTCCACCCTGCAGCAGGAGGCGCTTTTGCCCTTGTCAGAGGTGACCAACCATCTCCCCATGCACATTGGCGACTACACCGACTTCTACGCGGGGCTCAATCATGCTTACAACATCGGTGTCCTGTTTCGTGGTCCTGAGAACGCTCTGCAGCCCAATTACAAGCATCTCCCTGTTGGATATCATGGGCGTGCCTCCTCAGTCGTGACTTCGGGCACTCCCATCCGCCGTCCCAATGGCCAGATCCTGGCTAACCCCGCCGCTAACCCCAAAGTGCCGACCTTTTCCCCATGTAAGAGATTGGATATCGAATTGGAACTTGCTGCTTTTGTCAGCAAGAGCAATGAGCTGGGTCAGCCCGTTTCCATTGATGAAGCCGAGGACCATATTTTCGGTGTCGTGTTGATGAACGACTGGTCGGCCCGTGATATTCAGGCTTGGGAGTATGTTCCTCTGGGGCCCTTCAACGCGAAGAACTTTGCCACCACCATTACACCCTGGGTGGTCTTACTCGATGCTTTGGAGCCCTTCCGCACGGCCGGTCTGGAGCCCGGCAGCCGGGAATCGCTGCTACCCTACCTGCGCGAGAAGCGCGAACTTAATGCCTACGACATCCCTCTCGAGGTTGAAATTACCAACGCTGGCGGAAAGCCTACCTTGATCTCTCGCACCAACGCCAACAACCTGTTGTACTCATTCCCTCAGATGCTGGCGCACCACACCATCACAGGTTGCAACATGAACACTGGCGATCTGCTTGGCAGTGGTACCATTTCTGGCAAGGAGAATCAAACTCAGGGCAGCCTTCTCGAGCAGACCAACGGCAAGAACCCTCTGAAGCTGGCTGATGGCTCAGAGCGATTGTTCTTGGAGGATGGAGACACTGTCGTTCTGCGCGGAATGGCAGGCACGGAAGGAAACTACGTTGGCTTTGGCGACTGTGTTGGCACAATTCTTCCGGCCCTCAAGTTGGAGTTCTAATCTGTTCATGGCCATGTAGTCTTTTTCTTTTATCTTACCCCAAAAGGATGCTTCCTATGAGCTAGCTATGAGTATGAAATTGAGATAGACCACAAATACGAGTTTTCCCCTTAGGTGGAGACCCAAAGACCATCACAAGTTCACAACTACATCGAGTAGTCTAGTGCGCTGAGGAGTCGATATTCACGTCCAAACGTGCACACATCGAGGCTTTGTCCCAACTTCTCAAACAAGCCATACCGCCTCACGACGAACTCAGTCGAAACTCCTCCGGCGTATCAGGCTGCGTCCTCCAATGTGCCCTCCTCACCGCATCTTCCTCCTCCAGCTGCTGTGCAACCCGATAGATCGTAGGAAAGTCCTCCACCTTCACCCCCGCCCTCTCAGCACCCCACACCGCAGGAAGCAGACACACATCAGCCATGGTAATGCTATCGCCAACGCTGAAAAGTCCCGCACTCTTAACCGCGATGGCCTCGTACGCACGGAAACCATCCTCGATCAGATCTTTTGACCACGCGGCGCGGTCCACGCCGAAGGGGGCCACCCTTTTCAGAATCCGAAGGTTGGTGACGGGCTGGACGTCGCAGGACATGATGTGTGCGAGCGTGCGGACGACTGCGCGGGCCTCTGGATCGGAGGCTGGTGGGAGCAGGGTGTGGGATGACGCTGGGCTGATTTCTTCGAGGTACTCAAGCGCTGCGAGTGATTGCGTAATGGTCACGGGGCCTTTGGAGGGGTGTTCCACGATCAGGGTGGGGACTGTGCCGGAGGGATTGAGCGTGATGTTTTCTGGGGAGGATTGCTCGCCTTTGAGGAGGTTGACGGCTATTGGGGTGTAAGGGATGGATTTGAGGTTGAGGGCGATGCGTAGTCTAGCTGAGCAGGAGGAACGGAAATAGGTGTATAGGGTGACTTTGAGTGGTGTTGAGTCTGCCATGGTGACTGTGGAATGCAGAAGGACAATGTTACTTTAATTGATGAGAGGAGAAGTACTTGGCAGGTCGAGGCAATGAGCTTTTACATGTATATTTCCTGATCGTTTACATGCGGAGGTGCGGAGGACATTACCGTTTGGTATAAAGAACACAATTCTATGCATCTGCATTACATAAGACACGGATACTTTGTATTATCGTGCATGGTAGATATGACATAGTGCGAAGCGAAATCTAGCCCTCTTAGTGTCCTCTGACAAGATGAACACGGTTTGTTGCTTCCAATAATGGCCTTGGTGTTGGCGTAGTAGGGTCCCAAGCGGAATACTCCCGCTGCTACAAACACCCGAAACTGGGCGCTCAAATTTCCGCACATTTCCGAGGTTAAGTCGATGTGACCTTAGCTCTATCCAGAGCCAAACAGTAGCGTAGATCATTGGAGCTGCTGAGCTATTGAGAAAGGGGACCCTCT